ATCCCATACTTAAAAATAGTGTCTGAAGCAGTTTTAAGTGTGTTGCGCAAACATCACATCAGCACGCCCATGCAACAACACAACGCCATCAAGCAACTATTAGTTCATCCGAATGACAAATTGCCGAAGGAAGACAAAACATGGGTGGTTTACAGAATTCCGTGTAACAGCTGCAACCATGCAAACATCCGGGAACTGTCCAGACATCTGAAAGCTGTCCAGACATCCGGGTAACTGGCCAGACATCCGGGAACTGGCAGACATCTGGGAAACGCCTAAAAGAACATCGTAAAGACGTTGAAGCTATGAAACAGCAAGTCTACACCAGAAATACAAGGAAAACAATACATCAGCCATTACATACCATGCTAACACACACAACCACATCATAGAATGGAACAACTCGAAAGTGCTTGAAAGGGAGGACAGCTGGAAAGTCAGGAAAATCAAAGAATCCACCTGGGTTAGGAGGGAAGGGGTTTCGATGAACAAAGACGAAGGGGCCACCAGCTGAGTCATCTTATGACCCTAGTTTAACATCCACTAAGGAGCAGAATGAGTAAACATGTTATTCCTCCCCTTGACTGCCTGCAGCATTAGAGTGCAGTTGGGCGAAATGTCTCTTTGGTTTTTGACAGCTGACTTTACTGATTCGGCAAATTGTAACATAGTGAGTTGTTTTAAGCGGTTCAGAGTCGTTCATTTGCACTCGTTGCTTGACAAGGGAAATAGACGTTTTTGAAAGCTCGCAAAATAAGTTTTCAATTTCTGTTGAAAACAATCTTAGCCTTTAGTAATACTTTTTTGATACCTATTTACACGTTCATCTGTCCATAGGTACCTCTGGTGTGTAAAGGTTTTGCGTTTAGGTCACCTGAAGAAGGATCACACAAAAAAGTCATAAAAGGCATAATTCTGCATGAGTATACTATTTTGCATGCCTTTTTGTAACCGTAACCTTTGACTGTGGTTTGTACCTTAATTTAGTTGCTAAGTATTGGGAGTGAGGCATCCCTGTCAACATACCTGTTATATACATAAGCTCAGCATGGTAGGGGTTGTGTTAGAATATCTACAGGTCTACGAACATCACTGATAAACAGGATAAATAGTCAGCAAACATGTGATCCACCTCAAATGGTTCATTTTCACCCTCATACTGCACTTCATATAAAGCAGTCGCACCATCAACACCTGAATGTTGTACTAAAGTTGTAAGAACTATTCACATTTACATTTACATTACTGTAATCTGCATCTGACTTAAAATTTATGGTCATGTATACAATAGTGTTATCCGCAAAAATCCTGACAGTTGATTTTATTTTGAGGGGGGATGTCGTTTATATAGAAGAGCAAGACATGAGGATGGATGACTGAGCTCTGACGTACCCCAGACTTGATTTTTTCAGGTTCCCATTTAATACCTTCGACAAACACTAATTGTTCTCTATCTGATAGTATTTTTTCCAACACCATAATAGCTAAAGCTATGACAGAGGAAAGGATGGTTTACTCTGTCAAAGACTTTGGAAAAGTCTATAATGAGCACGTCAGTCTGTTTATCGCTGTCTACACAGCCTATGATGTATCTTCTTAAAACTCTATCAGCTGACTTTCGCACGACCTATGTTTACGAAAACCATGTTTGAGTGGGTATAATATGTTGTTATAATCAGCATGATTCATGATGTTGCTTACTACGACGTGCTATTGAATTTCCCAGCCTTTACAGGTCAATGTTAATGGCCTGCATTTTTCTGGATGGTATTTTGGGCCTTTTTTGTATATAGGTGACAAAATATGCGAACCTCTAATTTCCTGTATCTAAAGACTTGTTTAAATAATTTTTAGGATGGAGGTTATCTCAGGGGGAAGTTCTTTTAGTGCCATTGGTTTCACACCGTCTGGACCTGCTGCTTTTCCTGATTTTTCTTTTTCAAAAGATGGGTGATTCCTTTTGTTGTTATGATGAAAAATACAGTAGCAAGAATTTGCATAAAATCAACATAATGAAGGCTTCATTGTAGTTCATGACCTAAATGCCTGGCTCCCTAATACTAGGGATTTTCCCATACCTTGGACAAGCGAGCCCAGGTAGAAAGGCAGAGACTTTATTCGTTGGATGAACATTTGATAAGGGCTCAGTGTTCTCACAACAAAGTCAATTCAGTCCAGGCACACGTTAATGAGACCATGACACTGGTGATAGTTAGGATAAATATTCTTTTAATGAAGTGATTGGTCTTTGGTTTGTAGGCAAAATCCCTTTGGTCTGCTGCCTGCCACAGATTGATCGGGTAATGATATAGTTTCTTAACATCGACCAAACCATTTTCTCCCGCGGAAAATATTGCTGGGCCATCAGGGCTACCAGCTAAATACAAATGGTATGTGTGTCTCATTAGTCCAATGGACTCTACTTTCACATTTGTATTATTCTCTGCCATCCTTATCTCAAACTCCTGAATCGTGAGATCCTCCTTATGGAAACCATTTATGGTATGTTGATCAAATATTGAATAGAATAGTACTGTATTGCGCACAGGGATTCTAGGCATTTCTCTGACAAGGATGCCGAACTTGGATGTTATGAGACGTCTTTTTGCGCTCTGTATGCGACAGCCCTTAAATTGACTGCTCCACAGTAGAGAATTGTATACGATGTATCTGGGCCTGCGGTAAATTTACATGTTTCTCATAGTAGAAATCTTTCAAAGACTGCAACTCCTGTTGTGAAATATCAGCTGTAACATCATCAGGGCCATGATTCTCTGGTTTTCTTGGGTGTATTGAACCAGTCATACTTTCTTTACCATCGGTTCTGTCTGAGTTCCTGTTTTGCTTTGTACTTGAGGGAGTTACCCAGACTATGTTCCCGTCTTCAATACAACTTGACCACTCTTTCCTGTAACATTCGAAAGTGTCAGGCTAGTAGACAACAAATAAAAATTGAAAGATTTAAAAATAGTGAGTTTGGCCTTCTTAGATAAAGATGTACCAATTCCTTTCAACGCATATCTCTGTTTTGAGGCCTTTCTGCATATATAGTAAACTTAAGGTCTCTGTCTATGTCTACAATTAAAAGATTTAAGATTTTCGCTATTATAATGGCTTGATTTTTTCAGGATTGGCTTTCATGCAATTCCTTGAAAATCAGTTAATCAAGATTTTGCTTTCATCTTCTAAAACGTTGTTTTTTTTACATTAGATGCAACATCACTAATGTAGGACAGCTTATTGTCATCAGCAGTATCATATAGGCTACTGTCTTTAATACATGTCGAACCCTGAGGAACACCCTTCCTCAGCGGCTCCCAGACACTGCAGATGGGGCACAGTCTAGCCTGCTGTAATCTGTTGCTGAGGTAACTGCTAATGAGATCTGTGGAGGGTACGTCAAGCCCATATGCTCGAAGAAATTGGAACAATTGTCATGCTTTCAAACTAATGTTATACAGAATTATTCTTCATGCCATGACGTAATGCCCCGATACCTGTTGCCTTGTCTATCTTCTGTTCTCTAACCTCACTCTAATGGCACACCGTAACGCTCTGACTAATCCGACTCCTGTTGCCTTGGTAAGGTGGTGTTTGTCACTGTACAAGGGGTTGTCATTTACATCATCCTCCAGATTGGACCTATAGCACTAGGTGACATGATCAGCACATTCTTCTTTCACCACATCTTTCCCCCTGCAAGGCACTTCCTCCATTATTCTTGCCCATCACCAATTATGCACATATACCTTATGCCATGTTTCTTTTCATCTTGTTGGAAACCTTCAATGGATTAACTGTCATCATTCAAGTTACTGAAACAAATATGTTGTTCAGGTTATACATTGCGGCTTTACGCTGTATTGCACATGCAACAGCACTTGTTTCTAAGCCGTAGACTAAGCGTTTTCTTTGTGACTTTGCCGAATAGAGTGGCAAATCCTACCAAAGCTATGTGGAAATGCTTGTGTGTTCGCTTTGAACAGCCATCATTCCCTCCTTCAATAGCAAGTTGTCGCTCTTCAGCACCTGCAGCTAACATATCTTTTTCTGTGATGTTATAACCTGCCAATTTTAGTTCTAATGCGGGAAAATATTGGTTGTGAAATTCCCGGTACCGATTGTTTCCCACCCAGAATACACATTTATATAGTTTGTTTTGGATCCTGGCAGTTGGGTTCTTGTTTCTTATCGAAAATCTGTCTTGCAACCTTTACAAACAACCAACACACAGGACACCTGTTAGGTCTCAGGACTGGATCTCCGTCTCCATTTTTATTGGTGGTTCCCCCTTGGAGGCAAGCTTAATATCACCACTGCATGTACATACGGTGCATTTATTATGAATTGATGAATACGGAAGATTAATATCGGGACAACTGGTACGAATCAAATAGAACGTAACTTTGAGGTTTGTCAAAATTTGTAAGGATGCCGGCTGTGCTATAAAAAGGAAACTTTTAAATGATATATAATTGTATCATGTGCTCGCAGTTTCATTCAAGAAAAAGTATATGTTGTTTATGATATAATGTCTCGTTCAACTTAATCAGCCCCATAGGGCAAGTTACTAACCAGCAGCATTTGTTTACGGTAATTAAGGCGAATCCGCATACGCGCGTGCCTATACTGCCTATAGACAGCTACGCCTGCTTCCTGTCGTGTCAGAGACTTGGAACTGGGTGCCCCGGTCATTTTAATCATGTGAGTCTGATATTTTTCGCTGATCACATCCGATTGTGACGATCTAGCTAGCAAAGATAACATAAAGATAAACTTATTTAAAGTCGTACAAGCTTGGCAATAAATAACAACTTCGGCTGATATTTAGACAAAAACTAGACAAAAATGGGTCCATAACAGAACATTCATTCATATTACCAAAAGGGGAAATTAATTCACTTGCTATAACGTGCAGATGTTTAGTCTAGTTAATTATTAAATTTATGAATTTGAGATTATTTTGTAAGCTGACGATACTTAACGTTGTTTGTCACCAGTCTATGTGTAGGCAGAGGAAGATAAGGAGACATGTTCCCACAGTAAGGGTCAGTAGAGGACACAGTGTGGGTCTGTCTGGACATTTTGTTGAAAAAGACCTGCAAATGTAAGTATATGTATATATTCATATTCCACGATGTTTGAATAGAATTCAAACAATACCTTAGTTCATTCCGAAACACTATAATAATGCTTGTAACGAACGGAAACCTAACAACTGACGCCATTGAGCTTGACTAGGGTTCGGCATCCCCAGTAGTCGTACTGAATGATTAAAGTGTCAAATGTTTTGTTCCACTTTCCATATTGTTGCTTTGGTTCAGCATCACAGCTGCAGCATATTTCAACTTTGCTTTATGGGAAAGTTATCAGAATTAGGAAATGAACGATATTCATTTAAGCTAAAAATCAATTCGGCAAAACAGGGAAATCGGAACGAGAACATGCGGTTATAGTAGTCCTGGCTAAGCTCAAGACCCACATACAAATTGACATTCTTATCTTTAAATACAGATGTGTCGACCTACCTGTATCCTGGTGTTGCTGACCGGTAAGAAAATACATTTTCTTTTGAAATATTTTAAATATCACTCTTACCATTTTCATTAATATGATATGGCACTTACATAACCTCCATAAGGGAACGTTTTATTACAGGGATTGCGACGTAATGAAATTTAAAAAAAGTGTATGTATGTAATTAGGTAAGAAGCAGTCTATCGACCAATTTTCTTCCGTAGGACGTTCCAGGTATCGATAAGGTGTCAGTTAACGACATTGTTAACACTTAATACACGTATTCTAATACTTTGGCCGCATTGAAGTATATGTATCAGCATTGTGAAATGGAACAAGCAAACGTCACCTAAATGTTAGCTTCCTTTGATGGTCTAACGTTATGCATCGCATTCTATGGCGTTAGCAACTCCATAAAAGCAATTTCTTGTAGAAGAGTTTATATAGAAACCTGCAGCGTAGTTGTAAATGTGTATGAATCCTTCATTTTTCCTGTTTTAACCGACCCCAACCCCAACCCTGTGCTTGATTTATACTTTATCTTCGGTGCAAGATTAAGCACACATCATACTTATCGCAATAGTACTTCATTAGGAAAAAATCATTAATGCTTATTCATGTTAATCTCGTTTTTTATTTATCCTTAGCATTCGTAACGTGCCATTGTGTTACTGCTGTGACGCCATTCAGCTGTGCTGGACGGGCGTTAGGATTTTACGCCAACCAAGACGAGTGTGCAAAGTATCATATTTGTACAGGTGGAGCAGACGCAACAGATGTAGGATGTGCCAGCGGTTTACAGTTCAATACCCAAAGCAAATTCTGTGATTACCCTCAGAATGTTAACTGCAACGGCCGACATTCAACGATTACCCAGCCAGCAATAACACAGCGACCCATCGTAACAATGGCGCCAATAGTGACAACTAAAACACCAAATATGAATACCAACGCTCCCCTCCAAACTGGCCGTCCATTGTTTACGAACCCACCACAGCCAACATTCCTTCCACCAACAAAGTCCCCTTTCCAAACGTTTGCTCCTTTACAGACGAACGCACCTGTCACATATGCACCGCTACAAACGGCTCGGCCAAGTGTAAACTTTTTCAAAACTACACTTCCGTCATTAACAAATGCTCCAGTCACCAATACTCCACTACAAACAGTGCGGCCAGGCGGAATCCTTTTCCCACTTTTCACGAACCCACCACGACCAACAAACGCTCCCAATCCAACAACACGTAGACCATATACAAATTCGCCAGGTAAGCGATCGAGTACAAATTTTACTTTCTTTTCACGGTACAAATAATATGAGGGAATTAAAGAGCATCGCATAAGCTTTCATTTTTTTCTCAAACGCATCAGCAAGCGACGTAAGAGCGCTACTTAAGCGTAAGAAAAAGAGTTCTTCATTTAATAGCATTCCCATTGTATTTCATTAATTCCTTCTGCTTTTGAGATTTTATAGCTGATTTCCAGATCTGAAATATTGGTGGTGTGGAACCTACTGTCGACATTGCTTTGGCCTGGGAAAGAATTCTGAAGACATATATTATGGACGGTATTTGTCAGGTGTTGTTAGGAGCTGGATACAAAACTGCTTAGGTCTTGCGTGATATCTGTCTCCTGTGGTTCCAGTCAAAAGAGGATTGTGTTGTGTAGGTTTCCTCGTCTTTTGTGTACGACTTCTAAAAGCTACACGTAGTAATCGTGTAAATCCGTTGCATTCTGTTTCATGTGGTCACCCCAGGAAATGCGGACCCTAACCAACATACTTCATGAAACACTTCCAATACTATATGATCGTCAATAGCTCTTGTACACGTGTGGGGTGCTGAATTTCATCAACCAATATCTCCTCCGCCAGTTCAAAAGAACCCTTGAATTTTCCTGGTTTCTGTCTTGTGTGTTGTTGCTTCGCCTGTGTCCTCGATAATACTCTTATCTCAAATTGCTTTGTTTCTAGATATCAAAACATCAGTGGCGAATCTTTAGGTAGACCAGAGTCAAAGTTTGTTACCGAGAAGGATTTCTGTTTTCTATCATCAACTGTATGGTTTGGTTTTGGTTTGGTTTAGTATTGTTTAACGTCCTATCAACATCTATGGTCATTTAAGGACGGTCTCCCCTGTGTGCAAGATGTATGCGTGTGTGTTTTGGGAGACTGCAATATGTTCGTGTTTGTCTCCTGGTTCGGAGGAGTTTGTTAAACAATGAGATACCTCTTGTGCATGTCGACTTTGAATCCGTGGAACGTGTCAAGGTTTTCCACTGCAATACAAAGCTGAATATGCTTTATACGTTTGGAACCAAGTGCTGTCAGCGACACCGCTGAATAAACATGTGTATTCGGCTTTTTTTTATGTCGTCAGCCTTCGAATCCACGATTACAGCCCACATCTACAGATAATAGTGGTTGGTTGGTTAATTGGTTGTAAATGGTTTTACGTCCTATCAACAGCTTTGGTCATTTAAGGACGTGCATCCGTGTATATTGGGTATGCGTGCACGTGTGTGTGAGTGCAGGGGGCGGGGTATGTTGGAGTATTTGTCTCCTTGTGACAGTGCTGATCTGATACCGACTTTATAGTGCTATCTCACTGAAATACCATGGAGGCATCCAGCACAGCATTCCGCCCGGTCACATTATACTGACAATGGGTGAATCAGTTGTTCCCAAAATGCTCGACTTTTGTATGCCCTGGCCTGGGGACATAACCAATCGCCTTCCTCAACTGGGCGAACACTCAACATTAAAGCCAAATGTGAGGTGTTGTCAAGCAAGGTGCTAGGAAATAAAAGGTAGATAGAAGTAAAAAGATATTACATATCGCAATGGATGCAGCAGATTTAGTTTGGTCGCTTTCATGTCCTCAAGTAGAGGGCACAAAAGCAAACTCCCAAATTTCCAGAGGATTCCAACATTAGTCGCCTCTTACGATACATGAAGTGGGTAACAGCAGGTGTATTCTTTTCTCGATCCCCAACCTGCAGGGGTGGATAATAGTGGCATATTATGGTTAGGGTGGGTATGGTGCTGTATCAGGTCTAACAATGTTTACCAGGCTTGAAACTTACTCACTAGCTTCCCAAACAACGTTGGTGTTGACATAGTCCGAATTATTCTGACGTTTTATCGACTATTTTCATATCGGTCTGTCGTCGATTAACGTCAGAACTCCGGCCCTCTATAATATGCGGGAAATATGCGACCCGCGCCCGGAGCGCACTTCAAACTGATATTTTAGAAACAAATCGTCACTTTCACACACATGTCGCACATGGATCGAAAGATCTATTCTTTATGCACAACGACAGACCGATATGAAAAAAGTCGATAAAACGTTAGAATAATTCGGACTAGTGTTGACAGTGTTACCCTAAGTTAGCCTTATTCTTAATTTTTCTGATTATTATGTATTACTGCCTTATTCTTGATTTGTCTGTATTCGTGTCCACCATTTTTCATTTGATATGCTACTCTGTGAAGAAAGTCCCTTTGTCGATTCACGAAAGAGAACTAAATTTTCTATCTTGTCCTAGATCACTCAAAATTGGGAAATTGGCCTATAGATTAAATACAAAAACAAAACAATCTTAATATTTGTTCAGAAAGAGGTATTGATTATATCCCCTGGTAAGTGAAGATGCTGATCATCAGGAAGGTAGACGTTTGAACTTGGCGTGTTTTGACCAAGGCTGAAATAATGTATACTCGTTTAATCACCTTTTCAAACACAATTATCTGTATCGACACTCTTCTAACAGTTTCTTAGACCACAAATATCTGTTTCGGCAAGATAAACAGATAAAATTTATTTATTTCTCTTCTTCAGTGTTCCCAAGCAGTAACATATGTTTCGGCAAAGTCGATGGGTACTTCTTGGATCCTAAAGACTGTGGCTACTACTATCAATGTTCCTTTGGTCAAGCGGTCCGAGAACCTTGCCCCCCACGGTTGGTCTTCAACGAGAAAACTAATGCCTGCGACTACGCACAAAACGTTCCTGCTTGTTCTCAATATCCGTTACAAGGTCGCAAATAAAAACTTTTTGAATTATTTTAACATCATGCTCTTTTCGGCGTTTTCTTTTATATGAAAGAAGAGTTTTGAATTCAACATTTATTGATATGAAAAGAACAGAAAACTAAACTAACTTTTCCAGCGTTTTCAGTTAATTCAAAAACTCTGTAAATCGTGCTTAATGTTTTACAAAGAACGAAAAGCAAGTCACTGCATTAAACAATGCTCACTGTTTAAGGAAAAATAATAGAATTTATTCAATTTCCATTTGAATCACCCTATTCATTGTTTTCTCTTGAGTAACGAAACGTCTAACGTGTGAGCAAAATTCATACAAGAGTCGAAAGTAATTCTTCAAACATTTATACATATTCAAGAGAGTGAAAGATGTGATCTTTTTCAGTATTGTTAAATCACCGCAACAACCAGACATTTTATGCCGGAACATAAGTTTTATGCCGAAAACCACTGTATCGACTTTTCTACATCACAGCAAAACTGTACAATGACCGTAACGATTTCGATTTTACGATCGTGCATGTCACAGTTGATTGAGTATGAAAGGATTTGCTCCGATTTATCACGATTTAGTCGTAAATGATGACTTATGCAGACGGACAAACATATAACCCGAACTGTCGAGAGATGCAGGGTGCTGAAGATAATGGGGAACGTTTTATGGTCGCCATCAAACTCATCTCAAACCGTTTTATTTCTTTGTGCGATGTGAAGTTTGGTGTTCTCGACTATGTTCACTAGTGTACCGTGTGGTTTCGTTGCTTTTGCTTTGAAGATGTGACATCACTTGGATTTTACATAGATGTACAATGATCATGCTGTCATACTCGAAGTTCCAGGGGCTAGGCTCATTAACGTTCTATGCAACCCTGGAATATGTCTTGATAAAATCGACTGCACGCGGTTAGCTATTTGATTGGTTTCAGGTGAAAAAAATGACCAATTGCAAGGCTGATACCTGCCATTCGAAGATTACAGAGGAGCCGCATCCTACTTCAAAGTCGGTCGATTTTACCGTTACCCATCCGCATGATTCGTTTGATATACATCAAAGGATCAAACAAACGGTAGAGAGCCTTCGATTTTTATATATTCCAGGAGAACGTAAGTGAGCGTAACCCCTTGAACTTTAAAGTATTTTAACACCTGGTCTTGTTCTTGTACTTTTACAAGGGCCTCTATGTACATTTTTGATTTGTTCACATATACAATTTTCGATTATGAGTTAAAACTAAGGTTTTGATCACACTTTGATACTCTTTCTTGCTTTTGTGTGCAATTGTTTAAAAAAAAACAAAAAAACACACCATGGCAATAATTAATTACCTTATCAGAGACCATGACCGGGTATAAAATATCGGTCATTTTTTTTTTTTGCAACTTCAAATATTTTAAGCTTTTAAAAAACAATTGCAACAGAATATTAAAAACATGAAAGCGGTGATTTGCTATACCTTAACAGCAGAGTTCAGTCTTGATCTCCTGTAACTTTATGCTCGGTAACCGTGTCTTTAGCGCCATACTGTAACTTTATGCTCGATAACCGTGTCTTTAACGCCATACTGTAACTTTAAGCTTGATTTCAGTCTTGATTTCTATTATTACTTTTTGCTATACCGTACCTGTGTAGGAATTCAATATCGATCTCTATACCGTAGCTGTTATATATCAGTCTTGATCTGTTTTCTGTAGCTGTTAGAATTCAGTCTTGATCTGTGTACTGTAGCTGTTATAATTCAGTCTTGATCTGTGTACTGTAGCTGTTAGAATTAAGTCTTGATCTGTGTACTGTAGCTGTTATAATTCAGTCTTGATCTCTGTACCGTAGTTGTTAGGATTGTGTCTTGATCTCTGTACCGTAGCTGTTAGGATTCAGTCTTGATCTGTGTACTGTAGCTGTTAGAATTAAGTCTTGATCTGTGTACTGTAGCTGTTATAATTCAGTCTTGATCTGTGTACTGTAGCTGTTAGAATTCAGTATTGATCTCTGTACCGTAGCTGTTAGGATTCAGTCTTGATCTCTGTACCGTAGTTGTTAGGATTGTGTCTTGATCTCTGTTCCGTAGCTGTTATAATTCAGTCTTGATATGTGTACTGTAGCTGTTAAAATTCAGTCTTGATCTGTGTACTGTAGCTTTTAGAATTCAGTCTTGATCTGTGTACTGAAGCTGTTAGAATTCAGTATTGATCTCTGTACCGTAGTTGTTAGGATTGTGTCCTGATCTCTGTACCGTAGTTGTTAGGATTGTGTCTTGATCTCTGGACCGTAGCTGTTAGGATTCAGTCTTGATCTGTGAACTGTAGCTGTTAGAATTCAGAATTGATCTATGTACCGTAGCTGTTAGAATTCAGATTTGTAAATTTCTGGCAGAGGTCAGTCTTGATCTCTGTACTGTAACTTTCTGGTAGAGGTCAGTCTTGATCTCTGCACTGTAATTTTCAAGCAGAGGTCAGTCTTGATCTCTGCACTGTAATTTTCTGGCAGAGGTCAGTTTTGACGTCTGCACTGTATCTTTCTGGCAGAGGTCAGTCTTGATCTCTGCACTGTAACTTTCTGGCAGAGGTCAGTCTTGATCTCTGCACTGTAGCTTTCTGGCAGAGGTCAGTCTTGACGTCTGCACAGTAACTTTCTGGCAGAGGTCAGTCTTGATCTCTGCACTGTAATTTTCTGGCAGAGGTCAGTTTTGACGTCTGCACTGTATCTTTCTGGCAGAGGTCAGTCTTGATCTCTGCACTGTTACTTTCTGGCAGAGGTCAGTCTTGATCTCTGTACTGTAACTTTCTGGCAGAGGTCAGTCTCGTTCTCTGCACTGTAAATTTCTGGCAGAGGTCAGTTTTGACGTCTGCACTGTATCTTCCTGGCAGAGGTCAGTCTTGATCTCTGCACTGTAATTTTCTGGCAGAGGTCAGTCTTGATCTCTGCACTGTTACTTTCTGGCAGAGGTCAGTCTTGATCTCTGTACTGAAACTTTCTGGCAGAGGTCAGTCTCGTTCTCTGCACTTTTACTTTCTGGCAGAGGTCAGTCTTGATCTCTGCACTGTTACTTTCTGGCAGAGGTCAGTCTTGATCTCTGTACTGAAACTTTCTGGCAGAGGTCAGTCTCGTTCTCTGCACTGTAACTTTCTGGCAGAGGTCAGTCTTGACGTTTGCACTGTAACATTCTCGCAAAGGTCAGTCTTGATCTCTAAACTGTTACTTTCTGGCAGAGGTTAGTCTTGACGTCTGCACTATAACTTTCTGGCTAAGGTCAGTCTTGATCTCTGCACTGCAACTTTCTTGCAGAGGTCAGTCTTGATCTCTGCACTTTTACTTTCTGGCAGAGGTCAGTCTTGATCTCTGCACTTTTTCTTTCCGGCAGAGGTCAGTCTTAATCTCTACACTGTAACTTTCTGGCAGAGGTCAGTCATGACGTTTGCACTGTAACATTCTCGCAAAGGTCAGTCTTGATCTCTAAACTGTTACTTTCTGGCAGAGGTTAGTCTTGACGTCTGCACTATAACTTTCTGGCTAAGGTCAGTCTTGATCTCTGCACTGCAACTTTCTTGCAGAGGTCAGTCTTGACGTCTGCACTGTAACTTTCTGGCAGAGGTCAGTCTTGATCTCTGTACTGTAACATTCTGGTACAGGTCAGTCTTGATCTCCACACAGTTAATTCATTGTAGATTTCGTTTTTGTTTTTCAATTTTAATCTCAGCACAGTGACTTTACGGTCGATTTCAGTCTAGATTTCCACACAGTAATTTCACCTAGCAATCAGTCTTGATCTCAACAAGAGGTAATATTTCTTTCATGGAAAAAACACAGTAAAACAATTTCTTTTTTACTTCTTGACATACATATTTATTTCATGAACATAATGATATACAATGTACATTAGTATCCATACTAAAACTTGTAGTTGTGTATTTAGGTTTAAAAAGTAGTAACAAGATGAAAGTTGTGTTCACGTACTTGTGTTTAGCTAGACAACTGTTTCTAAAGTGTTCCCTTTTTGGAAACAAGAGGATTTCATGGTTATGTAATGGAACTTCAACGTGATATTTGTTATGAGTAAAAAGGGACATGTTTTACAAGACAAGAATTTTTGGAGATTGTGTTATATCATGTGCATATATACAGTTAGTAAGGTAAGAGAGATTTGCCTTTTAAAGCTTTTCAGGCATGCATTCAAAATGTTACTACAGACACCACAGAAGTGTGTTAACAATGCAAGACTTTATTACATGTATCTGTTGAACTGTCTGCTAAGATTATCATATCATGATTACTATATAGATATATACGAATCCGGTAAAGTTATCCGCCTAATCAGAAGAGGAAACATATGTGCTTCTGTGTATATATGATTCCAAGTCTTGCTATATTAGTATCAAATGGTTTTCTATAGCATGGATAAAACAGCTAGCTACTATTTGAAATAACTCCCATTCACTGATGAAAATGCTGATATGCTAAATTGGCTCTACACGGTGAATATAAATGTAAAGGATACACTGGCTCGTCTTGATTTATTTGATGCTGAATGTTAAAATATCTGTTGTAGGTCGGACTACATAGGTGACCCTATCAGTGTTATCTGTTGTAGGTCGGACTACATAGGTGACCCTATCAGGGTTATCTGTTGTAGGTCGGACTACATAGGTGACCCTAGCAGTGTTATCTGTTGTAGGTCGGACTACATAGGTGACCCTAGCAGTGTTATCTGTTGTAGGTCGGACTACATAGGTGACCCTATCAGTGTTATTGTGTCATATTTAGCTTTTATCTTACCTTTTACGTTGATTTTACAATTTTCACGATTTATCATTAGAGAAATCTATAAAACCTTCACTTGGGTTACTAATTCAATCATGCTGTTGATGCTTCATAAATCCAATCCAACTTCAAAATAAATGTAATTAAATTCTCTAAAACAAATTTTGAAATCATATCATTTAACAGAATTTGTACTGGACACAAAAGTCTATCCAAATGTTTGCATGCTGATAAAAAATACAGTCACTCATGCCCAAAATAAAGTAGACACAGTCTTGTTAAAGATGGATCATATACACTGTCACAGTACAGAGAGATTAGGTGTCATGGAGAAGTAACCATCCTTGTAATCCTCGGACACAAGGCGACTGTGAGAAATTGAAACTTAATAATTGCCAATACAGTCAATATTTGAAATATATTTGAAAAATGTGTAAAGCCATTAGTCATATAGCACGGTATTTATAACATTCTTTGTGTTTATATAATTAGACGTCTTACAGGTCAAATCTGATTATAAATATAAATCTATGTTCAAATCCGATTGGTTTCTCTGCTAACCTGCACTATATATATGGTGATGGAATAAGTAGTTGCATTACATATATAACATAGATAATACAATACCGGAACCTACAAACACCGTCCTCTTGATATTTATTGTTTTAGTTATTTAATGCCATCATGAAAATACTGTATATGCAAAACCCAAATATACAAGTTTCCAGCTAAGGGTAATGACATAATCTACAAAAGATGTACACTTCCTTAAGCACAGAATCAATATACGATCAGATGTATTAGGTTTTTTTCTGCAGGTCAATGTAAATCTGATTGAAAGAACATTAACAGTAAAATTATTTTGTAGAAATTTAAGAAATAGTGACTATTGGAACCATGAAATTAAATGGATTTAATATCCTAAATGTATTATGATTATTAAAAAGTTGATACGGTAGTAAAGCCTAACTAGTTTTAGTATGTACAAGATTCTTGGTTTTAGATAAAATGCAGACTAAAATGAAAATATTTGAACAGAGTGTAAACATGAAAAGGAGTTAATAACTCGTTGATAGTATTAACCACTTAGAATTAAATGGGAAATCAAATTACAAAAAATAGCTTTTCAATATACAGAGAAATAATAAATAAAAGCTTGTTACCACTGCTGTGTGCTACTTTAAAGATCATTATATTTGTCAGTTCATATTTTCATTTTATCAAATTTTTGCAGATCTAAAGTAACCAAATATTTTATTTCCTTTTTTGATAATGCATTTGCAGCTTCTTTTCTGTATTTCAGGAGAATCATTTAATTTTTTTAAATCACGGAATTATTCAAGTTTGCAATAGATTCCACCTGTAAATTTAAGCAAAGCATTAATCTTACAACATACCAGCTGGTACTAAAGATTTACAGTAACCAGAAGTGTCAGGTTATTCTTTTCACTTAAATCTAAATCATGTAGATGTGCAGACAGCGAAAATTCTATCCTGACAAATATAACGAACTTTACAGTGATCAATGGTGACAAGTGTAGTGTCTTGTCCAGCAGCTAATATCTGTACAAAGCAAAACCAACGCTGTACGTGACGAGGGAATCACACTTACTCGTCAGAGTGTTCCACTACACAACAACAGCTCGTCTACTGAATCTGTCATGTTGTGATGTCTCTACGTACACACATTAAACCTACAATTATATATAATATATATATCTTTATGTACACACACATCCTCAAATACGAATCTCTCAATGATGAGTGCAGCTAGGTCATACACTTCTAATGATATTTACATATGTTTTAGATGAAATGTATAACAAAGGATGGTTTTGTCATATCAATCCCTCAGTGAAGGATAATGGTCACCTCTCACAACTCAAAATGTCCAAACATCTCAACAATTTAAATATATCTGATCACCTCTGTATATATGGACTGGCCAAAGTAACAATGCACAACCTTACAAACTTAGTGAACTTAGTCAGCTTACAAACCATGTGAATTTGATATACTTACAAACCTATATAGATTAGTAAGCTTAGAAATTTAGTGGGCCAAAAAACTCTTACAATTAGATTGAACTTAGATTAATACACTTGCAAACTTACTTAGATTCACAAGTGCACTTATCCAGAGAGACTGGCAAGCTTACTAAACTAGCCAGCTTAGCAAAATTACAAATGGTGAGTCTGGCAAGCTCACTAACCAAATAAACTTGACAAGCTTACTAACCTATTGAGCTTGGTAAATTGAGAGTCTGGCCCAGTGTTTAATTCTGTTATTCCCTCACCTCTACTTCAAACTCACTCCATGCAAACACACATACCCACTTTCTTAGCTTGTATTCGCATGCTACACTTCTTTCATACACTAACTCAGCCTATTATATCCTTTCAAACATTCATATAAATTGTTAAGCATGTAAAATTTCACTTAAAATGAATACAATTCATTCAGCAAAGTAAAAAGACAATATACAACACAAATATAAGAGGACACCTGCTCTTGACGTGATGAGAAATACGGACAAATTACTGTAAATATATGTAAACATTTGAATCTAGTGAGCACATGTGTCCATCTACAGTAAAACATATGTGAATCCAGCACTGATGTAGTACTATACATTTGTTAAAATAAAGGTTTGGTCTAGGATGTGAAAACTACATCTCTATCTATCCTAACTGATCAACACTGCTGACCCGCCATGGACAGGAGTTATGTCCCTTGTTTGATCATATACACTGATCGATTCATGGCCCTGTGTGATCATTGTCGGTGACAAAACCCCCCACATATTAGGTGTTTATATGTGAATACTGTTTCATGAATCATCATATAAATTTATTGTTGACAATACTGAAATATGCCAGTCAATGACAATAAAATTAGTCCTTCACTTTTGAAAACGTTCCACGTCTCATGCCGATAATATATCATCTTATCAGAAAATAAAACACATTTGCTGTTAAATTAATATAGAACTATAATCAGAGCAACTATTAGATCGATGTGAGATTTTGGTTTGCTTGCTGGAGAACCAGGTCAAAATCTAAAGAAAATAAATATATATCGGCAAATAATTATTGAAAATGATTTTTTTCAGGTAAATCATTTCTCTATTAAGAGTTAATTTAAAGATGCAAAAATCGTATTTTGCAGGTCAATCGGACTAAATTGTTAGCTGGATAAATTCAATAAGGAAATGAAGATTTTCAAAAGTAAGAGTTAAAATTAATCTATTGTGAAATGGTATCTGGCATTCAAATCTGTCGACAACTACCATATGATTATTGATCTCTTGTATTCATTTGATAACCAAAAATATTCCTTTTTGGGGAAATTTTGAATCAAATAGCTTTCAATCATAAGTGTATTCTTTTTCCTCTAAACAAATTAAGAAAATTATCAAACTATCCCTATTGAGGAAAACCTTATTTTGTTTCATTTGTTGACAAAGATCTAAAACATTCACAGGCTTAAATAGCACCTTACAAAATAGTTTTGCTCTTGATATGCAAATGAGGATGTAGAACAGGAAAGATTTAAAAATAAGTCCGAAATCTTCCTGTGATAAGGACACAGTTGACACAGTAAAGCCTACAGACTGGATTGATCCATCCTACAACACACAAATTGCTGCAATTCCTGAATTCTTCATGCCAGATTTATCTCTCGATCTGTAATTCAAGATTCTCGCCCAATCTTGACATCTCGATCCTCTCCCGACCTTGATATCTGGATGCTGTCCTAACTGACGTCTGGATTTTCCGGATCTCCCAACCTCAATGTCTGGATTTTCCGGATCTCCCAACCTCAATGTCTGGATTCTGTCCGGATCTCCCAACCTTAATGTCTGGATTCTGTCCGGATATCAATGTCTAGATTATCTTCCAAACCCGACGCCTGATTTCTCTCCTAAAAGTTATAATCCTCTCTAACACAAGATTCTTCTGGACACGGTTACACAATGCTTTTACACCAAGGTATTCCATGGCAATTAAGAATATCTCACAAGAACCACACCAGGATTTTTCTCACGGTTTCATTATCTGACAGCAAAGTCACAATATCTTTCACATGAATTCTGTTAGAATCTCACAACACTGTTATTCTACAGCAAAGCCACATGTCTCTTCTACAGCACAAGTCAATTTGGATAGTAATTTCTCAAATGATTCATATGGAGGCAAGTCGATCCGGTTAAAACTGAAACAAAATTCAACGGTAAAATTTAAATTTAATGTTCAGTGACAATCTTAATGCTGATTCAAATACCATGGGGTTTATTGTGTACATTATTTTGCAGCAAGCTATTTACTGCTGTATAGCATTTTTTCATCATATTATTCATAGAGAAATTCCAACTTGCCTTAAAACTTGCAAACCCATGTAAAATATATCAGATTTTGAACAAGAAATGAACATTATATTTTTTGGTCTCAATATGCTCAAACAGGTTCATTTTGGAAAAGCATTCCATTTAACAGCAGTTGATGGTTCTCAGTCAGTATCTATATCCTGAGAATGATTCATCTAGTAACTACCCTTATTACAATATAGTTAAGATATATGATCTCGTCTCCACACCAGACCAGGAATGGTTTGTGTTACTGTTGATGAAGCCAATCTTACCATGTGTGGGCTTTGGGTAAGTTGTCTGTGTTGGTCTCCACCATGTGTATAGTGAACAATCGTGGACCTGCAGCACCAGTGGAACCTGGAATAGCAAGGAGGAACGATGAATTGAAATCTACAGCTAAATGTACCTAAACCAAAAATTATCACGGCCTAGATGTCATTTTGGAGTAGAAAGGTCTGTGGAATACAGGGATTTAAATTACATAATGCTAGGAATGGATGCAGTCATAACTATATGAATGTCAGGTCTATACAGGTTTACAGCTTAAACATGATTCATTTTGGAAAGATTTTAATATTTAAGTTATAAATATGTATGATTTCATCCAAAAGATAGCTGAAAGCAGTCGATTCATCACATTTTTACACAAAAGTACGATGTGTTTGGAGTAGGAACAGCATACTTGCGAAACTTTTTTACCAGTCAAAATGATCCATACCTTGTAATGCCTTGAAGCCTTGAAGTGGAACTCGCGAGCTGCCTGTAACAAACTGTAGAAGTCTTGCTCTCATCTCGTCATCGAAACCTTCCACTGCTCGCCAGAACCATTTGGCAATATTGGAGTCCTGAGTACAGTGTTTGAGGCGTGTGTGGTTTTTCCAGTCAACGATATCTATCTTCCCAAGGCCTCCAATCATTAACTGAAACACAAAAACAAACATTCATTTAAAACTGTTTTTACAGACTCCTTTTACATGTATGTATGGAGGATTAGCAAATTTCCTTACAAGAGTGTTAAAACTAGTGAAAACAAAAGTTTTACTTAAATCTGTAATCCTTAAAAGTGGAATGTTCATGTTCTCCATAATACACTGGGGAAACTATATTTTCTCATATCCTACTTACAAGGAAAATAAATTATATGATTCCGTATAAAAAGAACACCACCCATTTCAACCAGCCCTAATATTGTGACATGGTCTTGTATTATTATAATTTCAACTTCCTGGTACAAACAAATAAGAGAGAAAAAATTGCACATAGTTATGGCATAAATGATTTCCAAGATTAGATCCTTTTTTTTCATTTTAGTTGCAAAAATGATTTCAAAGTATTGATATTTTTTTATTGATTTTTTATCAGAAATCTATGCATATTTAATAATGAATCCACCTAAACTGTTATTTGTCTTTTCTTGAAGAGCAATATTTATTGGAATAATGACACATCACAGTGTTTGGCTGGTGTATGAACTGTTTTGATCAAACATACAAACCTCAAGTTCACGCTCATCAAAAGGCCGCAGCAAGTGTTGTGGAATTACTTCATTGAACCCTTTCTGTAAGGCAAGAAACTGGGCCTCGATCCCCCTCATAAACCTCCAATGTACATACAATCTGAAACGCAAGCAATCATAACACATACTCAGTAGTTCAAAACTAAAAAGTGAATATTTTAGGTCCACCTCATGTGAGATACATTTTGTGCATTTAAACATAAACAAATAATGTAATAAGTAATGCTGTCCTGTAATCTTCGATGTGAGTGACCAAATTTATTCTCCCTCAACTGAACTCTTGGAGTCTGTTTATTTATGTCGACAGAACTGGTATATGCATTTTCAAATGTAGTATTTCAGGTATAAAGCTTAACAGATCTGTAAATGTTCATGCAGTCCTTGAAAATCTTGCCAAGGCTCACAAAGCAATATAGAATCATAAGGTCTGTTTTTATTATATAAACAAACACCTCCGATCCAAATGGTGAAACTGCTTGGAACAAATTAAACAAATCAGCCCTGAATTCCACCAGGAATCCATTTCCTAGAGGCAGCCAAACTTTTAGAACCTCTGTAAATGAACACTGGATCTTACTCTCTTATCCATGTGAAAAGAGGTTCATGAATTAACACTTTATCAACACTAAATGATGTCATGAATTACATAAACCAAAAGAAAGGATATGGTTTTATTAGCACCGATTCACTGAGATCAGTTACTTACTTTACATATTCTTTTTTGTTATCCTCTGTCACAGGGATATCGTTGCCACCAGGTTTTAGTTCGTACTCTGTGAACTGTCCAAAGGAGTTGTGTTCCACACAGAAGTTGTGATCCAGCACTGATTCTATGTTGTTTTCTCTGTTATAGAAACAAGAATACTTTTACAAATATTTTTTTCGTTTTTGTTATCTGTTTAAGAAAATAAAATTAAAAAAATAACCTTAAAAGGCATTCATCTTTTCTATAAATGATGTGCTTCCATAAAATTGTGGAGGCTATATTTAGAAATTATATTTTTTGAAGAGTTGTGTCCCCTTGCATGTAGAACACAGATGTTCCAATTTATGAGTGGACAGGGACCAGGAGTCAAATTCGGACAAAACTTGCAAAGCCAAGAACATTTTTGCAGGCCGAGTTCTCCAAAAAGCCATTGAAAGATGAACATACTATTACAATGACATATAAAGTTAAACCTCCCTTGACTTTTACTATTTTTTAGGTTAGAGAGGCTTGTCTTGAGCACATTTTGGTTTGTAAATAACAGCGACAAGACAGTACAAACAGTAAACATGGAGAACCATTTCAATGATTTCTCACCAAAATTAGAAGATTTGATTACTTAAGTGCTTAAACCTACACAACAACTACGAAAATATATACTCCTCAATATTGTCAATCAAGAATATTTCCATTCTTAGATCTAAATTTGATGACAATTGACAAAGGGGTTGTCTCCCTTTACTTACAGTAGCCACACAAGACTCCGGTGCAGCTCTGGGTCGACATTCTCCAGGTCGTCGAGAGTGACAGCCTTCTGGAGTAATTGTTTGTAGAAAGGCAGGGTGAATCCTCCATCTAGATAATGGCCGTGAAATATTGCTATACCAATAATCCGTCCCACAAAGTGGAAATAAGACAAATGTTCCTGGAAAATATAGAACATGACTTAGTTACAACAATAGCTGGTTTATCCATTTTCGTTGTTTACTGGACACTTGCCTTTCCAAAATTAACTTCCAAAAAGCAACTGCAATATGCATTCAGTAGAGCAACCCTAGATACACAATTGATGCAAGTATAATCAACATAGCACTTGTAGTAGGCAAGCTATAGATGAGAGCAATTCTTCTTAACCAGGTGCATGGACAGATGCACGCACGAATAGCCCCCATTTCTATATCTCCCGCCAACTCGTCGAGCGGGGGATAACTAAATTTGAAAACAATTAGATAGTATTCGTTTTTTTGCATCAAATAAAGTAAAACATGCTTGATAAACCACATTTATTGTAAATGTATCCTAATAGGAAGTCGTAATTTTTATCTAATAACAAGGAACTATCACATAAACATTATTCTCTATGAAGTTTTGTCTAGTATAGAACTTATTTATGTTCATTGCAAACACATTTTATCCTGATAAAACATAATGCTCATGATCATAACATCATTTGGGATCTTTTGGGTATTATTACAGATATATTTTATTATGTTAAATTCAGGCACACTTTAAATGACAGCACTTAAACTGAAAAAGAACAATGACAAGTTGAGTTCATACAGCCATTGAACCATTACCGCGTTTAACTTACAGGGTTAACGCCCGAGTCGGAGTTAATCTGGAGGGTATAAACATCGTCTCGGGCATATTGGAACAGGCCGTAATATGGATTCAGCATCTCATGGGACAGTAAATATAACCACTCTCTGTAAATAAAACAACGCCTCCAATAAACATTACAGACTCAATATATCAACGGCTAATGTCAGAAGTGTATGTAACTGTGGTGTGGGCATTTTACACGTCTGTACTTTAACTCATTCACCCCTGAAATTTCATAATGAACTATTCCAGCCTTTGAATTGGAAGGGTTCAAATGCGTCTTCAGGGGTGAATGAGTTAAAGACCAACAGGGAATATTTGGTACATTTTATGCAGGTTCAACTAGGAGTGTTTAATATGCTTATGCAGAGCTCATAGGAGTATTTGATGTACTTATGCAAGGCCAAAAAGACTTTTAAGGTACATATGTAGAAATCAGTTATAAAGGGTACTTAGATAATGCACTTATGCAGGACTCCTAATTAAAGAGTATATGATGTCCTGATGGAGAGGAATATTGAATTATTACAAAAAAATGCTTTTTCTTTTAAAGTTTTAAAGGTAGACTATTGTTCTCAAATTTAAAAGCATTTTTTTTTTTGTACCTGGCTACACCTCCATAATCAAGGCCCTCTTCCCCTCGAAACTTCACCATCAGACGCTTCCTCAGATCTTTCGCTCGGAGCTTCATCACTTGTCGATAGGAATCCTGGTAGTTATGAAACAAATTAAGCAAATTATGATATTTGTTTTTAAGTAGAGTGATTTAAAAGAAATTTATTGTTTCATGAAAATATATTGTGATATGCAATTTATTGGTACTAATGTTGCAGGATAGTCATTTAGTGTGTTACTAAGCTACTACTAATCCATGAACATTTGGGACAAGTACATAGAAGTAAGGCCATGTTACAGGTGACATGCATTACCTCAAATATTTCCTCCCTCGACACCTCCATCCGACAGTGGCCTCCCTGAGGCTGTAATGCAGCGAACTCTTGTCGTACAATTTTCATTTTCTGGACGAGATCTCGTTTGTATTTAGGCACAGGTGACTCATTCTCTTTATCATTACATCTATTGTTACTGCTCCTGGAAAATGGTCAACAAAAGTACCATGTAGATAAAGTTCAACAATAGTCAACACGTATATAATGTTAAAGAAACTTGGTGTTGGTCAACATGATCACTGTAAATATGTTTATTTCCATTTCTGCTCCTTGTGAAATAAATTGAATATACAATATAAAATATTTTGATGGCCCTCGTGTAACTGATTAAACAATTTCACTCAAGATGAACTAGTATTGACCCAGAGGATTGATCTTAGTGACCTGGTGACCCCATAGATTGATCCTGATGACCTGGTGACCCCCCAGATTGATCCTGATGATCTGGTGACCCCCCAGATTGATCCTGATGATCTGGTGACCCCCCAGATTGATCCTGATGATCTGGTGACCCCCTAGATTGACAGGACAACTTACGTGGATCGAGCAGTCGTCTGCAGTAGATGGATGTTGGCAGAAAGCCGGGGATCTGTGAATTGTGTTGTCCTGTTGTTGTGGTCTACGAAGTACACACGGCCATTTCCCGTATGTCGTGTCTCCCAACCAGCGGGCAGCTGACCAAGGTCTTCCTCTCGGATCTCCGAACTCGACAGGTCCCTGTGGGGAAGGAAACCAAGACACTTCAAAGACAATTCTTAGGTGTAAAGATTCCTTTTTTTTTTTTTTTTTTTTTTTAAAGTTTTAATGGTTATATATTGATTAATAAGGGATAATAATACTTCAAACATTGGTCAAGAAGCATGAGTTGAAAACTTCACACATCAATCAGATATTGACTGGAGTGTTGGTTATAGTAAATGAGAACAAAGTGAAGGCTTTTTATATATTCAATTTCTGTTCATGCAACTGCATGTGGTCGAGTATTATTTAAATAACCTATTGTGTAGTAAGTTTTACAGTACACCCTGTCTTCTCCAACCCTGTCCAATCAACACTTTTGTCTGAATTGACCCAAGGATTTTGGTTCTAATAATGTAAGTAGACTCTCTGCAAACTGGCGAATATAGTGGTCCCAGGGTTGTACGGTTTACACAAAGTACACTAGTAGAAATCCAGGTTCCTGCATGTTGTTCGAGGTTTCAAATAAGCCCACTTACCTCGGAACTCGTGGGTCATGCCACGTGCTGACTCCCGTCCGCGTGTGTAGAAAGTACACCTGACCTTGCTGGGTTGTTCGTTGTTCTGAAATAAAATACAAACAGAAATTACTTTCAGTGTTGTTATAATTAATTATAAATGCAGTTTTTGTCTCATCAGTCATAGTTCCATTCCTAAAGAACTCTTAACAAGGAATCTTTCTGAGTTTTCTGAAATGAAAAAGTTTGTTATCTAAACCTTACACATCGGTTCTTATATATATCTAACTTTTATCATGATTTTACTATTAGGTAGATCTTTAAAATTGTTTTACTGTCTCAATGAAACAATAAATATCTCAAATGGAAATGAAATCTCTTGCAAAATATTACAATAATGTATATCTTTTTTGGCTATAAAACTAACTTACCATAGCCACTGGGCAGGTCGACTGCATTGTGTAGATGAGAACGATTGAGGTAATTTCGGTGCCGCGTGGATCGCCGACGTGGTAGTGGGGGGTTGACTGTTCCACTGTCCTCGTTATTGTTGTTAGAAGAGCTACTTGTGTTGTTGTCATGGTTACCACTATTTGTTGACGGTTGCCGGCTGTGTGCACTAGTGACTGTGTTGTTTCGTACAAACTCAGATGCTGGTCTGAAAATAAGCACAACATATTAGCCCTAGGTCCAAGTCATGTCAAAACATAGAAATTAGATGATTGTTACTTCTGCTTCTTCCTGTATTGAAAAATTAAGGATTATTTCTCAAAATAATCAGGGTCTTGAACACCAAAGTCTACTGCATGCAAATACTTGTTTGTCCTCAACAAATAACCCCCTCTCCCGAAATTTCAAGTGAAACAGAACAATTTATTCTCTTGAATCACTGGAGAAATTTTCTGTGTACTGTAACTTTGATAGTACCAGGTAATTCAGGTGAATTTGGGTATTTTTTAATGTATCTTATTCTATTTTCAAGATAAATAAACTCTTGACAATATGACAATAAATCTATCTGCTTAATATAACTATGATACCAGATTTAATTTTTTAAATTAGAAATCAAAGTGTAATTTGTACAGTACTGTTATTTGTGTAATTAACATGTGTATCTGTCATACAGAAATAGGTAACGACATACCTTGTAGGACGTGCCCATTGGGTGCTACGGGTCAGGTGATTGACATAATGTACACGCCCACTTGCTGTGCGCCTCTCCTCCCATCTGCAAAATACAAACATTAAGAAGCATTAGGAAACAGAACAATATTCCGAACTCTAAATCAATCAGTGATACTAGCTGTAAAGGTATGATAACCAACATTCCTAGGTGTTGTTATAAATAGGAGCTGCTCAATTACCATGGTTAATTACCTACCCTGGTATGTTCTATAGAGCGTGATGATATGAAATTATTTATTTTTGTAGTTTAGCTTGATCCATGTCATTACTTAGACAGTCATTGGTACTTACTGCTCCATAACCCACACAGTATATTACCGGTACCAAAACTGTGTTAATGTAAATTATCCTGATTTCATTTTGTCCATATGTTTGGTCAAAAGACCCGAGCTATGTATACATTCTACGCGACATTACATATATTTAATGGCAGGTCCTCAATGACACACAGTAGAATATACAGGCGAAAATCTGGGTCAAACATGTTTTCTCATTTTCAGCATTATTGACCTGGAAGATATCCACTACAGAGTACACACCACTACAAAAGATAATATACCTAACCAAGCTTAACCAGCTATACAACATTTACATATTGTTAATTATTGTTTTGTTTCAATAGTGATCAACTTGAACAAAATCGGTTTTTTTTATAACTTTTATGCTACATTTACATGTTTATGTCCTATTAAGTTAACAATTCTTTGTGCACTTGTATAGCCACTCTGAGAACCAAGCCTCCAACCATTCAAGCATTGTTAGCTTTAAACTTTACAACTCCTCAAAACTTGATCTTTAAAGAACTTTTTCTCTTAAATATTTTTGTATGTTTCTTGTCTTCTGTAATATTTTTTTTCTTGTCTTCTGTAATATTTTTTAATAATATACATGTAGTATTATAATTGTACTTAAAATGTTTATATATTCAGATGAAAATTCAATTAATGTTGTACCAGAAGCTGATCAAGTACCCAGTAATAAGGTTCTTGTTTGTATATACACACAACTGTAAACAATATTACAGCAATCAAGTCCTCCCAGCTTCTGCAGCTGTCACACAGCATAAGGTCAAGGTTATTCCATAGACCTTCCTACCTACACAAAGAGATGCAGACACATATCACTGAATTGTGTGTCAGCAAACATACCCTAACGATTGAACCTTCTCCCATCAAACCAACAACATTAATTACTATTCTATTATTCAGTCTTACGCCAGCACAACCTAGACAGTAAGCACTGATAATGCTATACCATTCTGAAATATACAGGAGCCTAAGATTGAGTGATGTACGAATGCATCAAATTTAGACTGACTGCATTAATACAAGTGACAGTTAATTTTAGACTCAACCATAGAAAGTAATTACATGGAAGGCGTAAGTTTCCCACTGTTCAGTAGTCAACTCATATGCAAAGTAATGTTTCAGCAAGTCATAGCTGTCTTGTACAAAACAAGGTTGAAATAAAAACTAATTTTAACATTGTACATTAAATAGTGTTCAGAAAAAAAAATGAAATCCTTAAAAACTTGTTAACTTCAAGAATCATTTCCACTTAATTAAGTCTGTCGACAGTATCAACACATAAACAAGTGCCTCATATCAAATTGGTCTGATACCTGGGTACATACGATTCATGTTTACCACACATAGATTCCAAACACCATTTTAAGTACAAAGAAATCAATAATTGTGTTTCTACCTATGTATGTAGATAATAAATGCCAGTGTTCACCACTTAAATGAAAATAAATAATACAGCCCCGTTAACTGTAACTGAGCTGTCTTGTTGTCTCCCCTTATCAGTAACAAGGCCCTTTGTGCACGTGTATCGTTTTCACCATCTGATTTTATCGCTTTCATCGACATCTCTCCCGAGTTTCAGAAAACAAAAGTCTAATTCATATTGAATTGCCTCTAATGTTCTCTTGACATGCAAAGGAGGGAGAAACAAGTGTTTTTTGACTTTCTGGCATGTTTTGAGAGCTCAGCTAAGGGGTATAACAGGGACCAAATACAGGTCAAGTTAAATCAGCCAGCGAAAGTGGGCCTTACTTTCGCAGTAGTACAGACCCAGTAACTGTTCCGACCAGTTTGTGCAAGACCTCAGCCTACTGTGATCAAAACACCACAATTGTGACACAGCATTTTGCTATTTATGGTATATATCCCCCGTAACTTACTGATAAATGGAATGACTGACTTTATCTGGAGTTTTCTACATTGTAAATCTATTGCCTAAATCACTGAAATATGTTTTGATTGTAAAATCAAACAATACAAAAAGTACTAGTATTTAAACAAGGAATATACCACAAATGACTTTAAAAACTAACCCAACCCCTACTTTAAGATATTGGCTTGCTACTACTAAATTTATTTTAGAGTTTGATGTTCAATGAGACAATTCCTTGCCCATGAACATCAACAGGTCTTTGTTATAAATTCCAATTTGTGATAAATATGTTCTTGTTCATGTTCATTACAGTAGTTTAAACCTGAGGAATAATATCTATGAAATACATATTTAAAACCAGAGATGGTGTCAAAGCCACCAAATGCTCGCCTGTTTAAAAATTTATCGTCTTTAAAAAATTGTTTTTAAAATGAAAAGAACAAAACTTTAAAAAAAAAAAAAAAAAATGAAATTAATTTTTTAATTGTGCCTTTGCTACATCTAAAATATAGCCCAAAGGAACCTTCATGACAAATATCAGCATCCTTGTACGCACATTTAATGTATGACAAGCTTCTAAATAACTTGCACCAAAAACTTTAACATTGATGTGCTACAAAAATGTTAAGTTTTAAACAGACCTACAAAAAAAAGATTTATTTTTTATTTTTTTTCACTTCACTTCATCAATATTTTACTCGACAGGAACCTCAATGCCAAATATCAGCATCCTAGTATGCATATTTAATAAATGACAAGCTTCTGAATAACTTGCAGGTAAAACTTAAACATTTTCATGCTGACGCTGACGCCGGGGTATCACTTAGCTCTCTATTCTTCGAACAGGCGAGCTAAAAATGAGTATCTCTTAATATGTCTGACTGTGAAAAACATCCAATATATGTTACCTGTAATATCAGTATAGGATTCTAATCCATAAATTTGTCTTTAATTAAAAGGAATAGAATTAAATCTCAGATTCAGTCAGTATACCTGTTTTCTGAAAAAAGATGAAGAAATCACAATTGATATCATTAAGATAAATTTTGTTATCCCAGTGTTTGGTGATTTACGAAGCGGCCAGAGGGTACTTAATATCTATAGGAGAAATGTTTTCCCCGAGTATAAGTAGTCAAGTTACATGTATCTGTCAATTACAAATAATTCTTTCATCATCAGAATATTTCTACGAGGTTTTTCTAGTGTCTAACACCTTTGTTTGTCAGGTGCTTACAATGTAGATCATCTTCCTTTGAGGGAAAGTAGTTCAATATGTATATACATATCACCCAAGTTTGTAACCCTCGTCCTTGGAATGTGTCTGATATTTCTGAATTAAAACGTTGCCCCTTGCTATAAACACTAGGTCAACATCATTCTGTGAATTTTTTCTACAGTTACTATATGTTTTCAAAACAGAACTTTCAGTTCTATTTTAATATTTTTTTGAAGTCATCAAAAGTATAAAATTTTCAAAGAAATCAAATCATTTTGGCTAACACAGCTAAATGTGAGTATACAACACATTGTTTACGCTTCCTCGTACCAACCTAGTTTCTTCGACCTGGGTTAAGTGATAATTATAACCTATAGGAGTTAATGAAGATTTTTATGACAGATCTGCAATGTTCCAATGCAGGATCACTCAAAGGTTTTATGAACAAACACACAATCAAGACAACGGCACCGGGCACACTAATCGTATTCATCACGCCAGCAATTAGCTTTCAAGTCATTTGGATACACTGGAAAATGTGTAGAACATCTAATGGCTTCCTCATTGAGCATGTTTCCATACGCAATATAACGCACGTAGGTGAATAACATGCCAATGGCTCTAGACACAAGATGTTGTTTATATGTATACATCTGCACAGAAAAAAACGGGATTCACCTTTGGTTAGACATCAATTTGTTCGTCTCTACTACAAAGTCCTTGGCTCCAAAGCCCGTAGTAAGAATTATGTAAGTACACGACGCTAATAACAAGAACATTGGTGTGGTCATATATTTATGCGGAGATGAAGACGTTTGTAACGTTGGATTGTTTAGCGGTTAAAGCTTTACAGACGTAGTACAAATATTACAGCACTGCATTGAGGTAAATTGGGAGTGGAAGAAGCTTGGCAGGTGTAAGCTATTACACCTCCTGTATTACTACAGTAAATAACGAACTACATAACCAAAACACATCCTCCCGTCTCATCTGCCAAAATATGTCTTACACTAGTCGTCTGAATGGAGATTTCACTTACAAAGCCACAGTCGTGCGGATGGATTACCAGCCGTCTGCTGATACCATACATACTAACATACCAGGTCTAGTGGTAACTGTTGTCAGGTACTCGCAACATCCCATAATATTCATCGTCAGGGACTTAAAGTTGTTTCTTGTGGTCTACACTGTCAAGAGATTCGCAGCATGTACTTCCATGCATTGTCAAAGACTCATTATCAAAGATTCCTTATCATAAGAACAAGACAGAATTAGGCCAACTTTCTGTCATCATGGCCAATAAAAAGTAGGTCAACTATGAAAATTTATTTAGGTCAAAAACTGATAGAGACTATAATGGTAAAAAAATGGCAATCTTACTCAATACTAGATATTGACTATCCAATATGGCCATTGTTTATCAAATCTACATATATTTATATATACATATCCATAAAAAATCCTTGGCTGTAGTTTATAATGGTTATATAATTATGTTGCATGATTTTGGTACGTGTACTATCTGTAATGTAACAGCTACATACGTAATCATATCTTCTAAGACTACCAAATATTACTACAAAAGTTAGATTTGGCATCGCTATGGTACATATAAATGAGAAAAAAACCAGAAATGTTGAAATTAAGAA